CTTTGCCTGAGGAAAAGAAGGCTTGAGAACATATAGAAATAGAATGTGGGAGAGAAAGAAAAGGCCACAAGCAAACTTTAAATTGTTTCCAGTTTGGGTCGGTGGAAGGGGTATGCACCACGGGGAGCTAGAAGGCATTGACCTTGCCGTCCAGCAGGTGCACTTAGAGATGTGGCAAGATGGCCCAGTACAAGGCCCTGCTTGGCACAAATGTAGCTGTGACCTAAATTAAGGAAGCAGAGAGCCACATTAAAAAGCAAGATAAGACCCTAATCGCATCTTTCTGGAAAGAGAGAGAAAGATATTGTGAACAGAATAGATTGGAGACAAAGGACAAAAGTACGCACAAATACATATCCCAAAATGTAGACAAATTCCCTTTAAATACAAAATTGAGAAATCCAGTTCGAAGGGATACATTTGGCAAGTGGGCTGAGGGTTTATTTATTTCACTGCTATATTAGCTTTAGCCTCTCTGGCATATAAAACATTCTATTAAACAGGAAAAGGTCTATTTTTTCAAGTATAAGAAAATTTTCTTTACAAAAGTTTCTTTTAATTGTCCAAACTATTCCAAACCTTTCTCTATATTAAAAGATTAAATGAATCAAATAAATTCTGAACTGAAACTCAAAGTTCTTCTGTCATTATTTTCAGATGAATGCAACCTTCAGAAGAAGGCAAAATAGGGATAAAGAAGTGAGGCCAAAAAAATCTTCTTTCCAATGTTTGCACCTAATTGTCAGTGCCAAAGTCTCCTTGCCTGAATTTCATTCTGAATGACTAAGGGAAGAGTGTCATTGTAACCAGAGTTCTGGGGAAACCTGAATGATATTATTTTATTTAGGAGAATGGGGCCACCTGAGCAAAGAGACAACCCAAAATTGGGCCTGATTTGAAACAACATAACTTGTCCTCAGACACTTAGCCTCCTGGTAGGCTGGTTACCTGTTAGACAGGATAACACAGCCCCAGCATCTATTTTCAAAGATTTCATCATTTCAGATATGTGGGGGAAACACACATTGCCAGACACACAAAATAAACTCTAACATACTGAAGGGCACCAATTTTCTTGTACCTGGAATGCTTATGTATTTGAGTCAAGTATTCTGAGTATGAAAGGGAGGTACATCGTAGAAACAGTGGGGTGTAATGATTTTCACTGGAGTGGAGGGAGATTTATATCATACTGAAGAGCATTCAAAAGAAAAAGGTCTATACATGGACAGGGTGGACACGTTTTACTAGGTTTCTCCCTCTCCACAATTTTACCTTCCCAAGCTTGAATTTATAGGCTTGGGTTTCATAGTGTAATTACTGGGTTTAATATCAGAGAGGAGAGCAGCTTTGGTTTTTGGAGTATGTTTGGTGTTTATTCAAGGGAAACAATCTCCAACACAGTTTCATTTTCTTTTCATTTTCACTGGAGTGGGGGTGGGGGATGAATACTGATGTTTATGGAGTTTAAGGGTCTGGCAGCACTGGGAACTGCAGAACTTTGTTTATGCAGCGTCCAGTTTCAATCCAGAGGGTGCCAATGCAAACTTCTCCAGACCACCACGCCAAAAATGTCGGCCCTGTCTTGGAGGAGCAGCTTTCCCAAAGCAGAGGAGAGGTTCTCAGAGCCAGCTTAGTTTGCAACTGAACTGGGGAGAAAGCCCAAGCACTAAACCATGCTGTCTCAAGCACAGCAGTTTAAAAATATGCTTTTTATCAGATTTGCCTCATATTTTGCCTCATATTTTTTATCACAGCAGGAGCCTGCCTTCACCAGCTAAGCCGATTGACTGTGTCCTCTATCAGCATTCGGCTTTGATATTCATGTCTTCAGGAAGGCGCCCTCCCTTTCACTTATACTCTTGCTGGGGTCTCTTTATGCACCCACGATTACCACAGTCACAGCATCTGTCCCCCAACTGGGAAGGAAGCTTAAACTCATCAGGATCACCTGCATATCTGCTAACTGTGGGTGCCATCAGAAATGCAGTGCTGTCAGCACTTTCTTTCCATTCTTGAGACATTACAACTCCACAGCCCTTGGGGGGTTTCTTTCTAACAGCTGGAAAGTCCTGATTTTCCATACAAGTTGCTTCTTCCTCCTCATATTGCTTGGTATCAGGGCCAACTTCGTAAGGCAGTTTTTAATGAACCCGTAGCCAGTGTGTTAAATATGTTAGTTGAGTTTTTCCATAAAGCCAAGCTAATATAACCCGATTGTTTTCTTAGGCACCCTGTGGGGAGTAAGGAACATAGAGGGTAGGAAAAGTGGGGGTGTGTAGTTGATATAGTTGGTACGCTGCCAAAGTTACCCACCTTTCAAGACTTCCCACCCAACAGTGAGCTGATGGCCTTCATGTTAGCTGAGCTTTCTAAAATAAGGAGCTCATCAATACAGCGGAGCCCAGAAAGACTCAGATTTGAAGTATAAGCCTTTGGGAAATGCTGCCATACTGAGAAAAAAGTAGCTCAGTAACTAGCATGAACAAACTTTGAAGTCAAACTCTATGCTTGCTACTTTTTCTTCCTAGAATTCTTGTCACTGCAAAACTATCTAAGATCACTGCCAAACTATTTATGATGTTAATCAAGTGCAATAAAAAGACATACACTGTATTTGTTTTTCTGTAACTTGCATTGCCTGTGGCCTTTGTCCAGTGCCTACTAGGCAGCACATTCTCAAGTGCTGGGGGTGGTTTCGGATTATTTCTGTGTGAGTTCACTATACAGTCCTGTGAGAGGTGGCAAATATCTGTCAGTAGTCAGAGCAGTTAATTTAAGCTCAAACCTCTAAAACTATGAAGTGAGAAGGCAATATCAAAAATTAAAACAAGCAAGCAAGCAAACAAACAAAATATCCCAAGTGCAAGAAGTTAGTTAAAATCTCAGACTCTTGAGTCAGACTACCTGAGTTTCAGTTCCAGCCATTCACTAGCCGTTATGGTCTCAGGCAAGAGTTCTAACCTTTCTTTGTCTCAGTTTTCTCCTCTGTAAAATCGGATATATATAAAAGATAATAATAGTATTTACTCATTTTATTAGAGTGATAATTAATTGACAATATCTGTAAGAGTTTGGTGATTAATATATAATAAGTTCATTTAGATATTTGTTAAATAAAATACTCTCAAGATGTGGCCACTGGTTAAAGGATAATATTCCCTTGTCAGATTTGAAAGTACTATAGGAGGAAAGAATGCCTACATTATACAGAACTAAATTCATCAATTATGAAATATTCCAGCATCATGGTATGTATTCAAATTAAAAGGAATCATTGAAAACTAAGCATTTACAACATTGCCAACGACGATAATTTAAAACACTGTATAACATTTATAGCCAAACTGACAAAGGGTTTGAGTTCTAACTCTGATGTTTACAAACTTGTAACTAAAATTTCTTCATTCTCTTTTCCTCATCTGTAAAAAGAGCTTTTATAGCACTTATTGCAGTAGATTATGGTGAGGACTAAATAAATGTTTAGTACAGTGTTTGACATATAGCAACCATCCAGTAATATGGAGAATTTTATTTTTTTAATTAGGAGGCTTCCCTGGTAGCTTAGACGGTAGTGTCTGCCTATAATGCGGGAGACCTGGGTTTGATCCCTGGGTCAGGAAGTTTCCCTGGAGAAGGAAATGGCAACCCACTCCAGTATTCATGCCTGGAAAATCCCACGGACTGAGGACCCTGGGAGGCTATAGTCTATGGGGTTGCAAAAAGTCGGTCACGACTGAGTGACTTCACTTCACATACATTTTTGGTAATGAAACTTCAGTATAGTTATCAAGAAGTAGGGTTCTTATAGCAGAAAATCTTCCCGATTTTAAGGACTCAAACTAACAAAGATCAGGTTTAAAGATTAGCCAACATCTTATTTTATGACATATTTTGGGACTTATAACTGTCAAGCAATGGCACCTATCAAAAGGAAAGATTTTATTCCCCTTTTAATCAACATTAAAAAAAGAAATGGTTAATTATGACATGAGAGATGATAAGTGTTCATGGTTAGCAATGGTGTTTCTAAAAAGCATACCTAAAACTAGAAATTAGTAAAGGGAAAAGTATACAGCCTTTTAAAAGGATGTAAAATAATTATTGATACAAATTTCTAAGAACTTTCTCCTGGAGTTTATATTTTTATTTCAGTTCTTTCAGTAGTTTTATTTATGAGCCCCATATGTTTTATTTCCTGTCAAAATTGATTTGGCTCCATCTTGCTTCAAACTCCTCACATATAAGGAATTCAAAGTTATATAATCTTAGATCTAGGAGATGCCTTATCAACCATCTAATCAAGACTTCTTATGAGGAAGCTGAGGCTCAGAGAAGTGAAGTAGTTGGCCCAAGCCCACAGAGATGCTCAGAGGTAAAGGCAGGTTTAGCATCTAGGATTCCCGGTGTTCCCATTTAATTTAGTGGAATGAAAAAATTTTGTCAAAGTTGCTGGAGAAGTGACAACAATCATCAGGTTTAGTTTTGTTTGCTAAGTGTGCATGTGTAAGACTGTTTATTTCCTCTCAGATACCATATCTACAGCTCCAGTAGCTGTCACAGGGTGAATAATGGTGCCTAGACTATGGTCTTCTGTGTAAGTAAATAAGTTTCCCAAATAGACTGAATATTTGATTTTAGTACCTGCTTCCATTCATGTGTGTATGTAGTTTATACATACATATGCCATTCTTACTGTTAACTTTTTGCTATTTTAACACTATACACATGTATATATACACATGTTTATTTAAGTAAATATATATATATATATATATATATATATATAAATATAAAACTTAAAGAAATATAATGGTTAGGTGCAAGTTAATGCAATCAGCTTTTAATAATTTTTATGTCTAACTCCAGTCTTCTGTTCAAATAGAGCACAGTATTCACAATAACTTTGAACTTAATCTTGAAGTCCACTGGGATAAATAGGCAGCTACTGACTCAAGCATTCGGGAATCTTCAGTTGAAGATGTTTAATTTTCTCATAGGATTCTACTGATCTCTGCTTATAACTCATCACAAATGAAGGCCGACATTCCCTTGCCAGAACTATCAAACAATTTTTTTCACTTTCTGGATTCACAGGTCTCCTAACCATTTTGAGAAAGGTAAAACTGATTTGGTAAAAAAAAAAAAAAAAAAAAAAGTTAAAAAAAAAATAGAATATGTAATAAGAGGTTTGGTTCTTACAAAAGCCCTATGGAGTAGGTTCTGTTATTATTTCCATTTTACACCTGAGGAGACTAAGACACAGAGAGGCTAAGTAATTTGTTCAATAAGTAACAAAACTGAAATTTAAACCCACACAACAGGGCTCCAGAGTTTACATTGTTAACCATAACAGTTACAACCTCTCCAATAAGCCAAGGACTTCCTAAGAGGAAGGGTAGTTTCTAGTCTCTTCCACCTGAAATGTGTTAGAAAATCCAACTATTCAGTAGTCTTTATGGTCCCCTAGCTCATCTTTAACCCAACTTCAAATTCAGAGAGCAAGATTATACTCTATTTAATAAATTATGCATTATTTAATATCATATATTGTTAATATTATATATCTTATAATAAATACATGCAGAAAAAATATCATGGAGTTTCAAAGTATACTATACAAACTGTATATGTGGTTTTGTCAAGAATATCTTGCATTGCCACTATATTTTGGATAAACATACAGATTTTAATTTTTGTTTTTGCATGAAGAGAGCAAATAATCATGTTGCATTAAAAAATTATATTACTTGAGCAACAGATTTTGCAAACTGAACTTAAAGAGAAAATAGTATATAATCAAATTATTAAACAATATAAAATATTATTGCAAAATATGTATAAGAAAATGCATAATCATTGTGGTGTAGTAAGTTATAAAAACCAGAGAGCACAGTATAAGTACTATAATGGTTAATACTCTTAATAGCAAAATTATGCTTTTATATTTTTTATTCCCATTTTGTTGGTTCCAAGAATCTAGAGTCATCATCATCATCATTAGCAGATTTTTTCTAGCATATATAATTAGGTCTTGCTACCTACTCAAACTGTTATGCATATTAGAGGATAATGTCCTGAACTCAACAAGCTAGTATTTTGGGTTCCTCTACCTGTAGGGTTTGCTGCAACCAGAAACAATGCCCTTTACACCTGGTATACTGCCTGGAGCAATGGAGTTGCTTCCTGACCAGAACCTAAAAGTCATCCACCAAGAGCTCCTGTGTCCCCAGAGTCTCAGGATGGGGATTCTGGGCTATCAGCACACAGAGATGGAAACTTTAGACAAAGTCAGTGTTCCTCCATTTCCCACAGGAGTTTAATTCAACACTGAGGGGATGCAAACTGAGCTATTGAACGTGAGATGATAAAATCTTAGTGGAGAGGATGTCAGGAGAAGAGCCTTGTGGAAGGATGAAGTCAGTTGCATGCGAAGAGTGCTGGTGGAGAACAGAGAAAAGATGAAAGCTGCGAAGGGGAGATGAGAAGGACCGGGGAAAGCAGTGGCTGGGGTAAAGTCCAGAATGGGAAGTGTGGAGAGAAGCACTGGTTGTGAAGGTGTGCTCAGCTCAGGGAAGATGGACTCTTAAGTCTCTGGTCTCTCAAGCAGAAAGCTAAAGATCTCATTGCTATAGAAGAGGTTTTCCTCTTGCCTCCAGATGTCTTCCAGTGACATTCTACTGCTTCATGGGTTGTGGGATGGCAAATCTGAGACCACTGTTAGGTAGGATTACTGCTTTTAGATTCTCCCTACAACCTGAGGGGTTAAAAAAAAAAGTGAGAAACTTAAATTCTTTCCAGGTACCTAATACCATTAATAACTCTTTACCTCTAGAGGGGGACTAATGGGGACAAATATGGTGTAATATCCCAAATCAAAAGAATTCCTGCTGCTTTAAATCCATTGCATGCTCAAAATACACTTTCCCACCAAAAAACACTTTGTTCTACTATCAGACAATAGCCTAAAATGTTTTTGCCCTTGGGAACAGTACCACGTAATTTTTATTCTTAAAATGACTGAGTTTTCTTATGCTCAAATTTCAGTAAATATGGATGCAAGGAGAGAGGAATCTGGATAACTGAGCCACTGAAGTAAGTGTGAGGAGGTACCTGAAAAGGTATGTTGGGTATCTTAAAGAAAACTAAATGCTTCTGTATTTCACCTCAGATTGCTTCTTCAAGAAGCCTAACCAAAGGCAAGCCATAACCATAACCAAGGAGGTAAAGATCACTAAACAAGAACTATGAAACTGTCTAATCTTCTGTGATACCTGGTTTCCTCATTAGCAAAATCAGTGTTTTAGTAGACTTCTATAGCCCTTTTGGAGAAGGAAATAGCAACCCACTCTAGTATTCTTGCCTGGAAAATCTCATGTACAGAGAATCCTGGCAGGCTACACTCCATGAGGTCACAAAGAGTTGGATACCTCTTAGCAACTGAGCATAAGCATGAAAGTCCTTTTAAATTTTAGTCCTATAATTGCTGGGGTTTTCTTCAAACATTTACTTTTTAAGATTTTTTTTGATGTGGATCATTTTTAAACTCTTTAATGAATTTGTTACAATATTGTTTCTGTTTTATGTTTTAAGCTTTTTGTCCACCAGACATGGTGGGGTCTTAGCTCCCTGACCAGGGATCAAACCCTCACCCCCTATGTTGGAAGGTGAAGTCTTATCCTCGAGACTACCAGGGAAGTCCCTGAAGTATTTATTTTTAAGCCAGTAAAATGATTATTTTTCCAACAAAATCTGAAATAAGAAACAAATAAAAACACTGCTCTGATTAGAAATAAGATCGGGAAGCCCGTACCCTGTGTCCTCGGCCTCTTCGTTTCCTCACGGACCCCTGAGGGGTCATAAGGGTCCTAAGAAGAATTCCACCCTCGACACTGACGGGGCCCAGGCCAAGGTGCAAATGGAGCCCGTACACGTGAACACTTAAAATGAAGCATTTATAAATGAAATCAACCATTAAAATAAGCATATTCCATCCTCCTACTTCATCAAATAAATATTCATAATGGTGGGTAAGGACATGCTCAAATACAGAATTCTTAAAATTCCTCAGAGTTTGTGACAGAAAATTCTGGAATGAGATAGGCCAGCTCTTGGCCCCTAGTCCCTGGTGCCCAGCCTAGACTCCACTCACTTTTTCTTCCTATTCCCAGTTCCATCTCCCATGGTGGAACTTGAGAGGCATCTTGTGAGCACTGCCCACAGTTTCTGTGAAGTGGCTTTGTGGTACATCCTCGGATGATAAAACCTTGCAGGGGAGGATTATTCAGGTTCAGACCATCTGAGCAAAGAAATCCAGAGCCCGGAGTACCACCCAGACAATGGCCTAGAGAGCAGGCAGTGGCTCCTGGTGGGCCCATGTCCATCAGGCCCATAGATCTCAGATAGTATTGCCCGGGAAGGGTTACACTCACCCAGGCAAGGTGCTTTGTGTGAAACTTACCAACCAGGGTTCTTGGCTCCTTAATCAATGGAAATTGACAAAAGGTCAGGCAAGAAATTCAGGCAAGGCTTTGTTGGGGCCACTGCTGTAGTAGTGGGAAGAAAAGAAGTGGCAGCTTCCCTTGCTTGCTTGTTCATTGTAGAGGGGAGGCAAGCTGCTTCCTTACATGAGGTGAGGGTAAGGGTGTGTCCCGAGGTTGGGCTGAAGGGGTGGCTTGGGTGTTTCGCCCACCCCTTTAGTGGTGGTGTGTGTAGGGGGCATGTGTAGTACCCTTATTTTGCTCCTAGCTCTTCAGAAGTGACAATTGCAATTGGGAATTTTGGGGTTTTTTTGTATTTTGCTGTCCATAATTTTCCCCCAACTGTGCATGCATGCTTATTTTTTAACCCCTTATAATTTCTCTGTATTGTGTTGTTTAGGGAGACATTTGTCTAGGAGCAAGCATTGCAGCAAAGGGTCCCAGGTCCCAGGTCCCAACCTATCTCACATCCTTGACCCAAAGGCTCTCTTGCCCAAGTCTAGGGCAGTACTGACTGAGCAGAGGTGGAGACTAGGAAACCATCCTGTGGGTCCTTGAGGGCTCTCTTTTGAACGCAGTTTGGTGAACATTTTTAGTGGACTTCAATGTAGGGTCTTTATAATCAACCCCATTGCGTATACCTCTAGACTGCAATGTCAGCCGCTGTTGAATTTCCAGTCTGTCGTCCTGCTTTATACATTTCAGACTTGCCAGCCTCACAGGAGCAATTGAAGCAATTAATTTCTTAAAATCATATATATATCAGAACTTCTGTATGACACTTATGTTATATGTTATATGACCTGGGGTTGGTTCCTGACTTCTCTGACAGTTTATTGCTTCATCAGTATCATCAAGGAGAAGGCAATGGCACCCCACTCCAGTACTCCTGCCTGGAAGATCCCATGGATGGAGGAGCCTGGTAGGCTGCAGTCCACGGAGTCACTAAGAGTCGGACACGACTGAGCGACTTCACTGTCACTTTTCACTTTCATGCGTTGGAGAAGGAAATGGCAACCCACTCCAGTGTTCTTGCCTGGAGAATCCCAGGGACGGGGGAGCCTGGTGGGCTGCTGTCTATGGGGTCGCACAGCGTTGGACACGACTGAAGTGACTTAGCAGCAGCAGCAGCAGCAGCAGCTGTATCATCAAAATAGTAACAGCAACCTCTTGGCCAGTGAAAGATTAAAAAAGGATAACGTAAGGCAAGTTCATGATACTGAGTTTGACACAGGATAATGACTTCAAAAAAGTAACAACCACTACTTATTATTACTATTAACAATGAAACAAAAGCTATTAAGCTGTAAGTTAGTTATAGAAATGTCAAAACATTCATTCAGCGTAAGATATTAATAGTAACTGAGAACACGGTCTTTGAACTCAGGTCACAGGTGTTTGTATGTTTGCTCTATCACCTAGTACAGAATATGCTAGGCACAGGCACAGTCCCTGTCCCACAGAACCACAATCTCACTGACAAGAGTGCAAAACTCGTGAGAGTTTTTCATGATTATTAAACCCTACCATATAGACTTAATTTTTTTTTTAAACTAAAACTCATTTTAAGTTTAGGCTCTTATATTTGAAAAGCACTACCAGATCTCAAATATAGAGCACAATCATTAACCAGAAGGAAAACTGAGTCTGGCAATGGCAAACTTGTACAATTTTTGCACTGCAGCTTAGAGGAAGCAGCTCAAGTCACTGTTATAATCAGAAACATCATCACAGTCAGGATGCATGAAAATCTAAAATGTTTCAAACACAGAATCTCACACTGAATTTGTCATTTTACTGATGTGTTTTCAGCGTTGCTCTCCAGAAGAAATAAAGTTTAAAGAAAAAGTTTGGTTTTTTTCCTCACTACTAAAAAATACTTGATATGGCATTTAATATGATAATGACATAAATTTCTCTGTTACCTATCAATTGAAGGCTATTTTTAAAACATAAACATTACATTTATATGAAGGAAAGCAAGACCAGGAATGACAATTGTCATTTTTATGGGAGCCAGATCTCTCTAAGATAATTGCATGTGTACATTCAAGGACAGAGATTTATAGCTGAAGCACACTTTGTAGATTTCAGTGACAGGTACAGGCCTTGAAATACATCTCCAATACAGGAGATCGAACAGATTTTTTTATTTTTAATTTTTAGTTAAAGCTCCTGATAGCACAGTAAGAAAATGAGCTGACAACTTACTGAGTTAATCTCTCCCTTTTCAGCTTCTGTACAACAGATTTTTTCACAGTTCCTACTGCTTTTATTGTCTCTTATCTCAGACATTCTCCCACATCATACCTGGAATTTGTGGCTACTGAGTTGGGTCCCTGAGCTTTTCTCTGTTGGTGGGAAGCTCTGGCACTGAAGGCTGTCCTGTCTTGTAATAGTAATAAGTGCTGCTAACAGGAGGGATTAGTCTAAACCAAGACCAGGGGTTCAGTAACCCCTGGAAAAACAGGTCTTTTCCCTGGAGTTGCACCCTTGTCTGTAAGTGTTAAACCTTATAACAACCTAGGGAAACATAACAACTACAGTTCACTCAATTTCTGGTTCATCAGGTATGGAGTGTCAAATTGCTGTGAGCTCCATATATTGACATACTGAAGACATGAATCAACACCTAAGCCTGTCTCCCCGAACAAGAGAGTCATAGAATCTCAGTCATGCAAAGAACTTTTAATCATGGTGGGGGGTATGAATAAAGAAGGCTAAAAGGGGCAAGGATAACAGAGAAAGAAAGGACTAGACAGGTGTGGAGCCCTTGGAAAATTGTACAGTGAGAAATGAAAATCTAAGCTGTTTGGGTTAAGTCTTATAATAACAAAGAATATTTTCAATCCTCCAAAACAACTCCAAGTCCTAGAAAATGCCTCACTTATGTTAAGGGAGATTTTATATCATAAAACTTGCCCACAGCAATGGAATTTATATGATCCTTTGGTGTGGTATAAAATAAGGATTGCATGGCAAAAGGGAAAGATGTCTTGGGGCCAGATGGACCCATGTTCAAATCTTTTATCAATTCATAGCTGGGTGGTCTTGGCCAAATCACTTAGTCTACAGCTTTAATTTCCTGATCTGTCAAAAAGAAATAGTTTATTATAGACTCTATAAGGGGTGTTCTGTAAGTGGTGGTTATTATTATAAAAGAATATGACCTTCAGTCAGAAAAATACTGGGCTATAATACCAGGCAAAATATACTGGGCTAAGCAGTCAATAGGTGGGTTGGTCATACATCCCAGTCTTCTCAGGACAGCACCAATTTATACCTGTTGTCTTGTCATAATTGTTAACATTGCTTCCTTTCATTTGGTGATGGATAATATGGTTATTCTGGTAATAGGCTAAGTCCTCACTGGTCAGCTAAGGCAGAAAGGAGCAGGTGCAAGCATCAACCAACTGAGTCCTGGTGAAGAAAGCAGAAGAGTCCTAGCAAGCCCAGAACTTTTGATGCTGAGCTCTCAACAGGTCAGTTGCCTCCTCATTTGAGCGTCAGAATCCATGGGTAAAAAGTGTCCTTGTGTATAAAATTTTCTGGATATAAGTTTGTTTTATCAAATTTTATTGGTATATTGACTTCCCAGGTGGTACTAGTGGTAAAGAACCTGCTTGCCAATGCAGGAGACATAAGAGATGTAGGATCGATCCCTGGGTTAGGAAGATCCCCTGGGGAAGGGCATGACAACCCACTCCAGTACTTTTGCCTGAAGAATCCCATGGACAGAGAAGCCTGGTGGGTTATGGTTCACAGGGTCACAAAGAGTTGGACACAACTGAAATGACTGAGCATGCATGCACATTGGGTATCTACTAGGTACCAGTTAGAAAGGGCTTCTCTGATGGCTCAGATGGTAAAGAATGCTCCTGCAGTGCAGGAGACCTGGGTTCGATCCCTGGGTCAGGAAGATCCCCTGGAGAAGGACATGGCAACCCACTCCAGTATTCTCGCCTGGAGAATCCCATGGACAGAGGAGCCTAGTGGGCTACAGTCCATGGGGTGGCGAAGAGTCAGACACGACTGAGTGACTAACACAGCAACACAGTGCCCTAAAAATGTCTCCTTTTAAAATTTTCTAGTTTATACCCAAAGAAAGACTCAGAACATTGTTTCATATTATACTTGTTAAACTAGTGACTTTAATAAAAGGTCTTAATAGGAAGATTTGTAAGTAATATTTACCTTTGCCCAAGAAGAGATCAATGGTATAAGCTTAGAGCCTGGCTTTGAAATTTGGGTAGGTAGGTATGTCTCAGGCAAATAAGGGGATATTATCTATTTTCCAGAGTCAAATGCTTGAAGACAGAGACATGAAGAAGACTTGTCTGGTCCAGACAATTCTAAGACACCAGATGTGAGAACAGAGTAGCTTTTATAAAAGTAGATGAAGCTAGAAAGTTTACCTGTGTCAGGCGAGGAGAGCTTATGTGCGCCAGAATAATCTTGAGCCAACTAAGGATTATTTTATGTAATGAAATGACTGAAAGGGATAAAGCTCTCAGTATGTGGTCAAAACCAAACTAACAACTGTTGGGTTTATTTTTAGTGCAATTTCTGAAAAATGAATATTTGAAAGGGAAAAAAAGTTGTAAGGAATATAGCGCATTGACACATTTGTTCAAGTTATATTTCATAACCACTAAAAATAAACAGAATTAGTTCTTTGTCACATTGCTTTCCTTGACTCCTTTATTTATTATTTTTCAGTAGCTGCTTCCTCTGAGTCTGGAGGCCCCTTCTAGACTAACTGTGGAACTTAATGTCTTTTTGCCATTAGAGGGTAAGAACAATATTCACTAGGCTTTTTGCCATTAGAGGGTAAGAACAATATTCACTAGCTGTTGTCAATAGAAAGAATTGAGCCAGTTTAAACTGTAAAATAGGCTTAGGAGTGAAGAAAATTAATAATTTTGTGAATGCTTTGTTGTGTTGTTTTTATTCAGTTCTGTTGTTCTGGACAAGTCATTAATAGAATCTCAGACATCTAGAGATAATAAGTCTTGTATGAGTTATATGTCTAAACACAAGTATCCATCAAAAGTAGGGTGTGGCAAGAAAATGCTTGTCCAATTATCTAATCCTTTAATTAATGCATTTATTCAACAAGAATTCACTCCAGGCTAGGAAATATTATAGATATTATGAGGGATACAATGTTTGACGAACTGTGCTTTCTGCCTTAAAAGAAGAAGAAACTCAGATAAACTCAGAAATACATGATAATATATAGAAACATTTGAGACAAACTGGTGATATTCAGAAACTATTAAACATCTTCCTCTTCTGCTCCAAGTGCTTAGGTGTACCAAGTAAAATAGTTAATTTTTCTCTTCAAAAACATATAGCTGATCTTGAATACAAGGAAGGGAAATATTCAGGTACCAGATAAGTTTAAGAAATCCATTGAAGTAACTGAGTCCAATGAGTTATGAAGGAAAATGTTGAGAGGGGGTTTTAACAGCCATGTGGTGATAGTAGTTAAAAACTGCAACCTGGGAGGTGAAATGCAAAAATGGAGGTAAAACTGGGATCTCAGCATCTAAAGATGGAAGCCAAGAACTAGCCAACTTCCATCAAAGGAAATTTTAAAACTTTATTCTGAATGGGTTGGAACCTAAAGATAGCTGTTAACTTTTGCCCACAAATATAAATAATAATCTATGATGGACAGAAATCCACATGTAGGAATTTAGCTGATTTAAGCCATGTGTCGGGGGAATATAAACAGCAAAAACATTACTTAAATACTCTAGGGCCTGATTACATAGTAAATGCAAAGCCATCTCACAGTGGATCTCCATAACCAAGATACACATGGAAGAAAGCAATTATAGAATGTGAGAAATTCTACTGTTAAGAGACGATGTGTAGCAAAGGAAGAAATATTACTCTGAGGGGAATTAGAGATAAGAGATATACTGTAACAACAGTGAAGTTATGAAACAAGAATAAGCAATAAGAGATAAAAAGGAATAAAACAAAGATGGAGATAAGGTGCTCATTAAAAAATCTAGATAGGTAAAAAGATAAAGCTAAAGAGAGTATTAATTAATTGGAAGATTACAGAGGAAATCTTCCCTAAAAAAATATAGAGAAATGAGAAATGAAATGAATGAAAGAAAAGTAAAAATATTTGAAAAGTAGAATAAGAAGCTTTAACAAATGTATGATAGTTACTTTAAAACTTTATTTAAAATAATCATAGATCCACAGAAATTTTTAAAAACAGTAAACTGAGGTCCCATATACCCTTGACCTAGTTTCTTCTAAAGGTTACATCTTACTTAATATAATATCATATACATGTGTATTAGTTGCTCAGTCGTGTCCGACTCTTTGCGACCTCATGGACTGCTGTCTGCCAGGATCCTCTGTTCATTGAATTCCCCAGGCAAGAATACCAGAGTGGGTTGCCACATCATTCTCCAGGGGATCTTCCCATCCCAGGGATTGAACCTGGGTCTCCTGGATTGCAAGCAGATTCTTGACCATCTGTGCCATCAGGGAAGCAAAACTGCTAAATTAATAGCAATATAATATGTATTATTGTACCAATATCTCCTTATTCCTAATAATTTTCTTCACTATGATGTCCACTTACTCTAATGTTAGTATAGCTACTCCTACTTTCTTTGGATTAATGTTTGTATACCTTTTACTTTTAACTTGCCTATTTCTATATATAAACCTAAAGTGAGTTTCTTATAGGCTGCATACGCTTCAGTGAAGCTAAACTGCATATTAATTGGATATTGGTATATTTAAATTATTTACTTATTGTTAAAGTTAAAATAAACAATTTTTTAGAACAGTTTTAGATTTATAGAAAAATTGCAAAGGTAGTATAGGAATGGTATCATATAACCAACTCCAACTTCCCCTAATATTTACATTGTTATGGTACTTCTGTTGCAATTACTGAATTGATATTGATACACCATTACCTTTATTCATGTTCATGTTATTTCTTCTTCTTCTTTTTTTTTTTTAGTTTTTACTTCATGTTCTTGTTCGATTTCCCACTCAAGGTACTACATTATATTAGTTGTCATGTCTCCTTAGGCTTTTCTTGGCTGTGACAGTTTCTCAGGCTTTCCTTATTTTTGCTGTCTTTAATTGTGTTAAGAAGTACTGGGGAAGTGTTTTGTAGAATTTCCCCCAATTAGGATTTGTCTGACCTTTTTCTCATGATTAGACTGAAGTATGATTTTTACGGGGAAATCCATGGAGATAATGAGACATTTAACCCCATCATATCAAGGATACATACTACCAACATGAATTATCATTGCTGACTTTTAACCTTGACCTTTTGGTTAACTTAAAAGCACTGTCATTAAACTTGCTTTCCCTTAAAGGTAAAGTGCCATAGTGCTCTCAGGAATTTTTTCTTTGCTTGCTTTTTAGAAGTTTGACTATTATGTGTCTTGGCATGGATCTCTTTGAGTTTATTCTGAGTTTTCCTAGCTTCTTGAATCTATAGATGTTATGGGTTGTTTTGTTTTTGTTTGTCTATTTTTCTAAATCTGAGAAATTTTCAGCCCTTAATTTCTTCAAATACTTTTTCAGTTGTCTCTAACATACGCCCTTTGGACTTGAATTAAACAAATGTTAAATCTTTTGTGCAATCTTAGGATCCTGGAGCCACTGGGTTTTTGCTTTGTTTTATTTTCTCTTTTTCCTTTCCTTTCTTTCTTTCTTTTTTTACTGTCCCAGTCTGTTTTTGTCTGCTCAGATTGGGTGATTTTATTGTTCTGTCATCAAGTTCACTGAGTCTTTCTCCTGCCCTTGCCATTCTGCTGTTGAGTTCATCCATGAGTTTTTCACTTTAGTTGTGTATTTCAAATTTTAAGAAAAATGTCCATTTCGCTTTTCTTTATATCTTATACTTCTCTATTGAGACTTTTTATTTTTACATTTGTGTCAAGTTTCTTTGTAATCACTCACCCAAAACATTTTTCTGATGACTGCATTACAATCTTTTTCAGATAATTCCAACAGCTGTCATCCCAGTGGTGGCATCCACTGATTCTCTTTTCTTACTCCAATTGAGATTTTCCTCACTCATGGTATGAGGTGTGATTTTCAATTATTCACTGGCTATTTGGGGTGTTATATTTTGAGATTCAAGATTTTGTTTAAATCTTCTGTTTAACAGGCCTTCTATGATGCTTCATGAGTGGGAAAGGGAAGCATCACCTTGCTATTATTGCCAGGTGAGGTCAGGAGTCCAGATTCCCCACAGGACTTCCACTGACACTGGAAAGGAGGGGGAATCCATTACCTCTGAAAAGCATTGAAAGTTCTGACTGTCCTCTAGGTTTCCTTTGACACCAGTCTAGAAAGGACGGGGGAGGTGAGGCATGCCTCACTACCAATAAGTCATGGGGGAAGTGTAGGAGCCCCACATGGTGAGAGTTTCCTTGTTATTGTCTTCAGTTGAAGTCTTGTCTTCATACTTGGCTTTCTCTAATATCACCCTGGTGGTTGGCGGGCAGAGAAACACCTCATTCAAGTTAGGCAAGAGTGAAGTCTAGGTGCCCTACCCTTTGACTAGGGATGAGGTAGGGGTTAGGCCATATCTAGTTGAGGCTGAGTTTTATTGTTTAAAAGTTTTCTATTTTGCTAGGCTTTTCTTCCTAGTCTTTAGTGCAAAATGAGCTAACTTTTTTTGGGTCTTTTTTTGTTTATGCCCATCATGTTTCTGGATGGCTGGTCTCTCCAGTACCCAATCTGGCAAAAATATAGCCCACTACCCTTGTTGTCTGAAAGTACTGAGGTCCCCAATGCTCTGCCTTCTTCTTTTTGCTTTTCAGTCCTTTGATGTTCACTTTACATGTGATGCAAGTTTTCTTAGATGTATTTAGAAGGAGGAACAAGAAGAGGTACATCTACTTCTGACAGGTGTTTAGACAGCAAAATGTAGAAAGAATAGTGAGTAGGTAATGTTTGAAGAACAGTTGAGAAATTTCCAGATATGACAGAAAAAGGAATTTATATTGAAAGGGCACATTGAGGACTTGGTAGAATTAAAAATAAGTCTATCACTTAGAAACACTATAGATAATTTACAGAATATCATAGATAAATAAAAATATCATAAAACTCACAAGAAGAGAGAGAGATCATCCCAAACGGAATGACAATAAATTTAGCACCAGATTCAGCAGCAGCAGTAGCAGCTATAAAGGTCTAAAATAATCTAACTAATACATTTGAAAATATGTCATAAATTTGTCAAAAATTGTCATAAATCTAGAACTGAAAACAAACCAACTTATCACTTAAACTGCGATTAAAATAGATATATTAATAGACATCAGTTCAGTTCAGTCGCTCACTCATGTCTGACTCTTTGTGACCCCATGGATTGCAGCAGGCCAGGCCTCCCTGCTCATCACCAACTCCCAGAGCTTATTCAAATTCATGTCCATTGAGCCAGTGATGCCATCAAACCATCTCATCCTCTGTCATCCCCTTCTCCTGCTGCCTTCAATCTTTCCTAGCATCAGGATCTTTTCAAATGAGTCAGTTATTCACATCAGGTGGTCAAAATATTGGAGTTTCAGCTTCAACATCAGTCCTTCCAATGAATATTCAGGACTGATTTCCTTTAGGATGGACTGGTTGGATCTCCTTGCTGTCTAAGGGACTCTCAAGAGTCTTCTCCAACACCACAGTTCAAAAACATCAATTCTTATGTGCTCAGCTTTCTTTACAGTCCAACTTTCACATCCATACATGACTACTGGAAAAACCATAGCTTTGACTAGACAGAAC